GCAAGAAGCAAAAGAAGAAGCGGGAACAGGAGAATGTCTCAGGTCGTAAGTTTAGAGGTCGTTCCGCCGAGGGGGGGAGGGGGTGCCGCGGGGTAGTAGCACGAACGGGCGGTCGGACGATCCGGTCTGGCTGGGTCGCGCGCGGCTCCTCCTCGGTCGCCGGTGGAATCTCTTATCGAGATCCAGCGGCGGCCGCTTCAATGGAAGCAAGCAAGCAGGCGAGCAAGCTCGAGGGGGTTAGGAAGGCAGCGGCGTCGCCGGTGGAAGGACGAAGGTAATAAGACGAGCTTACTAGTCGTGAAAGGTAACGAGCCGCGGGGAGAAGGCCGAGGGCGCGCGCACCATGGAAATGTCAGTGCAATCAGCGGGAGCGAGACCGAGCCATCTTCAAAGTGCGCGGCTTACGACCTTGTCGCTTCCGCTTTCATCACGGAGGCGGCGGCGGCGGCGGCGGCGACGGCGGCGACGACGCCAGCGCAGCGCGTGCGGGTGTGAAAAGGAGCGAGCGCTAGAGAGGAGTCGCCGAGTCGCCGAGTCGCTTCGTAGCAGGCTGCTTTCAAGACGATCTTATCTATATCTCGGCCGATTCCGCTTTCATTGCGAGAGCGAGGGGAAGCGCTCGGAGGAACCGGCGCTGCCTCTGTCGGTGCGACGTGCCGACCCGGTAATTGAAATATGACGGACGCCCCCGTAGACGATCGTCTGCGCGTTCATGTATAATTAGAGCTCATCGACTCGGAAGAGCGAGCCAATGCTAAACTCGATTGCTATCGAGCGAAAAAGAGACTTGGCTCTTCCCTTCTCTATTTATAGCGGACTCGTCGCGTCTGATCCACTCGTGTCGCAGCCATGATTATACTCCGATGGCGTAATGCGCCCCGAGGGTCGACACAAGATGGGAAAGAAAAGGCACGTCAGTTGTATGCTCAATAAATTAGTAGACGCGCGCGGCCGTCTAATCGATAGCACGGCACGTGGATTAAAGTCTTTGGTTCTACCACTCGCCGCCGCGGCAGAGCTCGGGTGTGTCAAAATTCCATCTGGAAATTAATTGGAATGCCGTGTCAGGCTTGATTCGCCTGGGTTTTCTTGTCGCGGAGGTTCTATTTATGCAAGGCGCAAATCGACGTTTGATTTGATCACAATGCTCCTCGCGATCGCTGCAGCAGACAATGGAAAAAGCTCGGCGGGGCAGCCGTGAGGGCTCGTCAACGTGCGCGCGCCACACGCGCCGCGAGAAGCTCGGCTCGTAAATAATTCCAGGACTAGGAGAGAGAGAGAGAGAGAGAGAGCGAGACCGCGAGTAAGTCTGGAGCTTGAAGAGGGCCGCGGAAGGGACACGCAGGCGGATCCGCAGACAGGCCGGCCAGGCGAGGACGATTATGCACATCCACTTTGTTGCGAGGTAGAATTGTTGAAAGGAGTTGGCCCGGCCGCGCAGTGGTGGTAGTCACGCTTTAGTCGGCCGCGCTCGCGATAAAGAGCCAGCCGGCGAGATGGAACATCTCCCTCCCCGAACCAGACAGACGACTCTGACTACCACCACCAACGACACACCCATACTATTGTGGACTTTACTAATTACCTTGTATTCCGCCTTGCTCTCACACTGTCTCTGTGCGCGCGCGCGACTGCGCCGACTGTGCGTCTAGTTTGTCGAAGCTCGTCGCCGCTAATAATATTTGTAAACAAGCCTATTGCCATTGTTCTCGTGCGATTTGGACGCGCGGCCAGAGCGTTTCCGCTAATCACCTTTCTCCCTGAATATTAGCGGTGCTGATAGAGACTCGTCTCGCGCCGATCGATCGGCATCCGCTATCGTGCGGCAAAAGGGCCGAGGGAAGGCTTTTTAAAAATGTTGGCGCCGCCATACTCTAGCGTGCGAGTGCGCGTGCGTCTGTACGTGTGTGTCTGCGGAAGTTGGACGTATTGCCGCCTCGCACTGGCGAATCGTCGCCCCCTCGCTGACACGCCGCTCATATTTCATCCGTCATTCACTCATTTTTCACCGATGCGTGCACTCGTGTACACGCGAAAGAGAGAGAGAGAGGAGAGAGAGAGGAGAGAGAGAGAGAGTTTAGTGGAGAGCCAGCTTGCTAATTGCATTATTCACTGTCACGAGCAACCAACTTTTACGTCGCTAATTAATTATCAGTCTGGAGGATCGCTCTCGGGCCCTTTTACTTACTTATCTTATACGGGAGTGAAAATATTTTTGAACGCGCGCACGTTCGTTCGTTCAACGACGGCGACAAGCAAGAGAACGACGTTCCGTGTGCTTCTAAGCTTTCTCATTTGAGTAAAAGCTCCGCGCGGATTGCACCTCCAAGTCGTGCGCGCGCGAATTTTACGTACCCGGATTTACGGACTTTCCGACATTAAAATGTCGCTTCGATTTGGGACCATCCGACATTAAAATGTCGCTCCGATCTGGGACTTTTCGACATTAAAGTGTCGCTTCGCGTCATTACAATTTCCCTTTTTATTTACGAGAGCGAACGCAGAAAACTGGCAAGGGCAATTTAATAGCTTTACCGCGGATGAAAAATCTTTACGAAGCTTCTGACTCACGAGAACTGAAAATTCCAAGGATGCATTTGGGCGCGAAAATTCGATTGTTTAAATATGCAATTTTACCGTGAAATAATCATGAGAGCGCGCGAGCGGGTCAAATATAGAAATTTATACGAACTTACCGACTGTTTCCATTGGTCCCGCTCGTAAAATTCAAATCCTTGCTCGCTAGCGCAAAGGAGTCAATTTTTATAAGGCACACTGGCTCTCGGCGTATAAACTTTACAGCTGCGCAGTAAAGCGTCCGAGTCGAAGTAAAGGCAAAAGGAGGGGGGGGGGGACGAGTAGGGAAAGAACGAGAGAAACGACGGCGCAGTGAGACTTTGCATTGCGAGTCAACTAGCGGAAACGATTCGGGCGTCGAATCGAAGATACAAGTAGATTATGCAAGGAAATGAAAATAGAAGGTAGCAAGCGGAAAGTGCACACAAGCCAGCGGCGGCTGGCGGCAGCTAGTCGACGGAATATTGCTTATTGCGCGTTTTCTCGCGAAAGCAATTTTCAGGACTGTCTATTATCAGTCGGCAGAGCAAGCGCGAGGTTGTTTGGCCTATTTCGAAAAATGAACGAGCGCGCGGCAGGTATGTGAGGTGGGCAAAGAGTTGCGAGCAAATTAAAATGGAACTCGAGCGTGGAAACGAGCTGTCGAGGATCAGAGAGTGAGAAATCGAGCGTCGTGTTTTGACTCTCTCTCTCTCACTCCGTTCTCCACGTTGTCGTCTCGAAATTCTCAAGACGCCTTGCTGCAACACGACGAGGCTACAGGGGAATAGTGGGAGGAGGGGGCGAATCGACGTGCGGGAATTTCTATACGAACGCTCCTATTCAACAAACTCTCTCTCTCTCTCTCTCTCTCTCTCTCTCTCTCTCTCTCTCTCTCTCTCTGTGCTGTTGCTGTCGCTGCTTCTCGTTTTGGGTTCGCGCAAGCCGCAATTACGGCGTCGCTTAATTCGTAAACCGTTGAATGCCTTAATGAACGCTCGAACGCCGAGAATATTGGCGGCACATCCAAAGGGGAATTGAAGCTCCGCGCCGCGCTCTCGGGTGCCGGCTACGATTAGGCAGAAATCATATTTTGCAGTCGATGCGCGCAGCCGGATGGAGTTCTGGCCCCTGGCTTGCTTTTGGAAACGGGAGTAGCTTTGGAGGCGGCTCTTCCGAATGGCACTCGCGGAAATTCTTATTATTTCCACTCGACAAGGGGTTTCGAGTAGCGTTCGCACGCTCGCCCGCCGGTGAAATTAGCGCCTACAACTGTTCTCTCGCCGTCTCTACTCTTCTCTCTGCCTAGGATCCCTTTTGAAAGTGTCACCGGGACGAGAGGCGGGCTGCTTTAAATGGATGCAAATTGAGCGACGAATGTAAACGCGTCTCGTTACCAGCTCGCTCACGGAAAAACGAGACACAGAGCCAGCTCATTCTGTCGCTCGCCGTTTGTTATGCAAAATTATTAACACAGTGCTTTGAAGCGCAAGCAAGCGTTAATTCCAGCGCGAGTCTCCGCGAATTCGCAGGAAAGAAATGTTCGACAGGTGTGCGCCAGAGCAATCGCGTCGCGCCGACGCGTGACGCCGCCCGCCGTCCGCCGCGTTGATTCTGCAATCTGCATTGTTAATACTTGCCGCGGCGAATTTTCGCGACTTCGCTGCTGTGGGAATAGCCGATGAACCGGCTGAATTCTCGATCACGCGGGTCGACGCTCGCGCGGGCTTATCGATCGCCTTTATTCCTCCCGAGGCGGCTCTTTGTCCGAGTGTATTTTTACGTTTGTCGAGCGTCGCGCGCCATTAAAGCCTTTCCTCCGTTTCTGTTGCAGGTAAGCACCCGGACGGCTGATTGTAGCCTCGCGCTTTCGTGTCGCAATCTGTAGGCAAGATCCGCGAGGCGATTTCCATCGAGAGAGGTAAGCTTCTTCGTTATCTCTCCGCTGCTACGCCGCTGATATCGCTGGCATTCTTCGCTGAGCCGCCCCCGCAAAGATAAGCTGGCGGATGAAATATCGCTCTCGCTACGCCGTTCCGAGTGATCGTCGTCGGACCGGCGATCATTCGAGCGCGCGCACCGAGCTTACCGACCGACCCGTCAACGTTTGCGCAAACGCGCGGCTCAATCGCGAGGTGGCGCCACTGCGCGCCGCCGCTCAATTTCAATTTCGGCGCGCGAGCTCGCTCGTTTTGTTTGCTCAAATTAATCTTTCGCTTTGCATACTGCAAAGTACATCCAAATAATGCAGATTGAACGCACTGCCGCGGAAGTCCCTTCAAATTGAAAATCAGCGTTGTTTCGTGCGTCAGGAAACGCGATATGGATCGCACGGAGTATAATCATTCTCGCTCGGTCGTGTGCTGCCTGTGTGCTGCCTGTGTGCTGCTCGTGTGCTGCGGCTTCGATCATTCAAGCTCTAATTAAGTATGGAGATTTTTCAGACATTTGGCGCAGTCAGTTCGCTGAATTCTGCAAAGATTTCGATGCCTAAGAAATCTAACTCGAGTTGACTGAAACGGACGTCTGGCTGTTCTTGTGTACACTGAGACCAAGATACAGCTCAAGTTACGATTTTGCTGTTATGAATATAGTATCAGTTACTCCGACAAGGTAGAAATTATTCGAATTTTCAACGTGTACGACAGTGAAACCTTATCATCGTATGCATGAAACATTCCATAATTTGCCAATTTCAAGTTACTACGAAAGGGGTTAATCTTGTTCATTTCGTATTTTCAGTAGCATCATGCACACTTTAGCTTGTTCTTCATTATCGTTCGTTATCTATTTAACTATTCGATATATTTTCTCGGCGCACGGCGTGGAGTCGCAGCGCTGTCGAAAATTAAAGGCATTAAATCATTAACTCATCCTCGTCGAGGATGTCAGATACATTATGCGCGTGTACGACGTGGCAGGTATGAAAGGGTTGCGTGTGTGCGTGTGTTGGCACACGCACTGCTCGTCACTATACGTAGGGGGACACAAAGCCGATGGCTAAGGAGATGACGCGTGTTTGCGTGCGTGGTTGCGTGACTTGCAGCCAGCGAGCAGCCAGGCGACCTCCCTCCGCGCATGTCCGATCCCACAACGATGTCGCGCTATAAACTGCACGCTCTTCGGCACTTCGTAAAAAAGAACAAGAGATGGCGAGAAAGGGGGGAGGGGAACAAAGTAACGTAAGCGGTAGTAGGGCAGATTGATAAGAGTGCGACTGCCGGAAAGCAGAGCTATACAGTTGTGGCGGCGATTAGACCTGTGTAAATTATCGATTTTGCAGAACGACGAACTTTGCTCTCGTGCTCTCTCGCTCTCGATATAGAAGACTGGTGGTACCGTGGCTATGCAGCCGCCATCGTCCTCGTCTCGTCCGTGCCGCACTGACCCCTCGCCCCTCGACAATTTAGTTAGTTCAGGAACACAGACCCGGAGAGGCAGAGCGGAGCCTCAATTATTGAGCTCCCGCTGGCGTTTACCTTGTATTTTAGACAGCAGCTCTTGTCCGAGACTCCGGCAATCGCGCAGTCTGCCTCAATTTGCGATTATTATTCGAGCTGCGCCAAGGTAACCGAGAGGCTCGCGCAACGTAACTACATGCTGTCCTCCGTCCTCCGCCACGGTGCTGCGAGAGGCCATTTGGCGAAAGTTGGCCGCGTCCGGGGGCGCGCGCTCGGCAATGGTCGCGCTGGAAACGAAATAAGATTTATCGAAAGGCGAGCGAGTTGTTTATGACGTGGCGCGCGCGCTCGCGCGCGCACAAACGGAAGCATTGCCGCGCGCGTAGCCGACGTTTATTTCCCCGGATATTTTGCTTTCTATTTACGCGAGGCTCGGGAAATGCGCAAAGAGTCGCGCGCTTTTCCACCGGGCTACTTCACCGTGGACAGGGGCAAAGCGAAGAGGGCGCAAAGCACGTCCGGCAAACACGCGCCAATCCATAAACAGAACGAACAACCCGTTAAAATGACAATCCGCCGAAGTCGGGGCCGAGCTCTCGCTGGCAGGGTCGCGCGGCGACCGAGGCACAGCGGCGCAGCCAGCTCCGAGCCCGGAGCGCGCGCGGGCGAGCGAATTTTCGTTGCGCTCGTAAAAGAAACCTCGGAGCCAGCGTATGAAAAACGGAGGAGACCGATGTGCGCGCGCGTGCCGCCACCGTTGCCGAGTTTATTACCAATATACTCGCGCTCGGAGGCTTTCCGAAGGCGCGCGACGCGCGCACCCCTTGCGCTCGGCCGTTCGCGGTGCTTCGGCTGGCGCGGCATCGCGTTTCCTTTGCACCTCGACAAAAGAAACTACGGGAACCGGATCGTCGCCGGCGCGCTGCTGAAATCGGAGCAGAAGTAATACTTGTGCCCGCTGCCGATGGTTTTAATTTGGAAGCCGTAGCTGGCGCGCCGGCGGCAGTGGGGTCGGAGGCGCAACGAGGGCCGCCTGCCGCCTGCTCATTGTAGCCGGGAGAAAGCCGCGCGCGCGGCTCGCGTTTAATTAAAAAAGGGAGCCTCACGCGCACGCGGTCTCTTTGTCGGGGCTGGCCTTTTTAATATCAAATTTGTCGCAATAACGATATTTCTCCGGCGACTCTCGCGCCATTTTATCACATAATGGCGTCTTAATCCCATCGTCGTTGCGGCAACTTCATTACTCGCACTTTGAAATTTCCGATAATTAAGTTGGTCCTTCCGCCCTCCTGGGAATGTTTATGTAAGTAGATCGGCCAAGAATTTTAAAGAAGGCCGAAAGACCGCCAACGAGGCTCCGCGAGCCGGTACAGCCCCGCGAATGAAATTTCGCGCGGTCTTCGGGAAAAGCGGCGACGGGGAAAGAGAGGAAAGGAGAAACGGAGAAACGAGAGCAAGAGGTGCGCGCACACACGCGTGGCACTTGCGCCTGGCCTTGCTCTCTCATTTTCGCGACGTGAAACCGCGGCTTAATTGCCCTCGCCCCCTCCTCCGCGCGCTCCTCTCCGATTCCAAATGTCCGAGGACCGGAGCGAGAGAGCTTTTTCCGCTTGGTAGTACAAGTACGCGAGGGCCGCTCGTCCCTTTTTCGCGCGCGGCGTACCCGGAATAGAGAATGAGCTCACGGGCGACAATCGCGTTTGGCAAAAGTTAGAAGATTCGTTTTCGCCCGCGAGCAGAGAGACATTCGTTTGTTTCGAAAGAGGATTAGCCGCTCTCGCGTCGTTCGTTCATTACCCGGCCCCACGGCCAGCCCGTGCGCGCGCGTCCGTGTGCGTGTGTGATTTCATTCGGCCGAGTCCCGCGCGCCCGGGACGCGCCCGGGACGCGCCCGCGTGTGCGCCTCTCGTATCGGCGAGAGAAAAGAGAGAAAGAGAGAGAGAGAGAGAGAAAAGCGCGCGCATGAATCGCATTAGCTTCGGCCTCGCGCCGTTCCGTGCTCGGGGCGGATGTTGAATTCATTCAAGAAATCGAATTTATCGCTCGCCACGGCTCGGCCGCGCGCGTGCGCCTGTGCGACCCTTACGCGCGAATACGCTGGATATGTATGCAGATCCTTTAGGCTTCTTGGCGAGATTCATGGCTTTGGGAGAGCGTGTGCCGCTGTCCCGGAGAAGCAGCTTTTCTCCCTCATTTCGTGTGCCCCATATCGACTCTGGCTGGGCACTTTTTACGCGGCGATTAGTCGTAATTTATAGATCCGAGGCCGGTGGCGGCGACGGCGGCTGCGGCAGTCGAGCTTCTGCTATCTCCGTCTGTCGGTCGGCTGAGCCGATAAGCCTGTCGGCGGACTACGAGCGGGAGACGCTGCTGGCCTGGCTCTTTGAGCGAAGGACCAGCAGCGGCGGGCGGGGCGGGGCGAGCGAGCCTCGGGAGCCTCGGGAGCCTCGGGAGCCTCGGCCCCGCGAGGTACACGCCGAGGAGCATGGCACTACTACTCGTGTCGTCCCCCGGCGAGCGTTTGCATGGCGCGCGCTGCCACGTCGCCGGGCCAGCGAGTGCTATTTCTTCGTCGCAGCCCGCGCGCAACCCAATTTGGCGCGCAGCTCGCTCGAGCCGGCGCCTGCATTATTACGCGCCTCGCGCGTGCGTGTCGCGAGGCGTTTCTTCTCGCGCGCTCTCAAGACGACTAGACGCCAAGTCGCGCGTGCGGCGCAGCCACTCGGCGAGGGAGAACATTTTCGAGCTCGACCCGGAGCCACTCGAGCCGTCTGGGGCTCGGTAAGGGCCAGCGCTGTAAACAATTAGCCTCTGCCCGTTCCGGCTCTCCGGCGCGCTGGCTTTTCCGCAGATTTTCCAGCCGGAGTGCCTCCCGCTCTTCGTTACGCACGCACTAATCGCGCCGCGGCTCCCGCCTCCGCCCCGCCGACCTCGTGCCGCGCGGCTCCTAATTGAGCAAATAATTACATTTTTTACCAGCTTCTGCTCCGCCGGCTTCCCCGGGAGAATATTGACTTTAATTCCCGGCGCTGGCTCGCGAGGCTTTTTCCTTTTGCCGGATGTGAAATGTGTGGACAGGAGGTAACGTGGATAAGCCAGTATTTGCACTGCATTATCGATGTACTGCGCTGGCAGCTGCTGCTTTGAGAGTATCCACTTTGGGAGTAGCCGAGCGAACAGCGTCATGAAAAGCGTTCGTCGATTGCCAAACGGCATTATTACTGCTGGCCCGCGAAACTTGGCCTGCTCGGTTCCAGCTGACCGAGGGCTGAAAAATTGCCCGGCGCATCGAGCACCGCGCAAAGCCACGAACGCGCCGTCTGTGCCAAAGCGAGTTTCGCCCGGGCCAGTGCAATCATAAGCACGGCTCGAACAACTGCCGTCAAATAAAAATGTGATCGATACATCGAGCGCCAATAAAACTGAGATTAGCCGGCGCCGCGACGGCCGAAACAATAACATTTTCCAACGCCCGGCGCTCAGCGCGGATAAAGAAGCGAGTGGAGCGAGCGATAGACTCTCTCTCTCGCTCTCTCTCTCGCTCTCGCTCTCGCTCTCGCTGCTCCTCGGCTACGCTCAGTTTCAGAACTTTTCTTCACCTTGCTGCCCGACGCTCCTTCTCCCGGTACGCGCAGCTTTCTCGCCCCGTCCCTTGCTCTCGCACTGCTTTCTCTTTGGGACGCGTTCGACTATCTCTCCTGCAAAAGTGATTGGTCGTCCGCTTCGAGCTGCGCATTCCCCCGCTGCCCGCTCGTCCCGTCGCCGAGCTTGTCACTTTTATTTACTTTCCCGGATTAATTTCAAGCTGAATCGAAACCTGTTCGCTTTGATTGCTCCGCATGCGCGCGCCGATTCTGAATATTCATGAAAAAAGCCATCTTTCGGCAATCAAGCATTATTTTACGATGTCCCCGCCGAAAGCCCGGGCACTCTTCCCCAGCTTACAATTTCCAGCTGAAATATTGTTTTTGTTTTTTTTATCGAACCGCCGCGGTTTTCCGAAATCGGCTGCCCGTCGGAGAGCGCGCGCACGGTCTCGGCCTCTTTCGGCGGATTTACCATTGATCG